AGGAATCTGATGGAGCCTTTTGATAGTGCATACAAGTTCCTCCTGCCAGCGTAGCTATGTCCTTACCCTGTTTATGTCCACACAGATTCTCCTTCAGTCGGCTCAGGACCAGTGAGTGAGCTCCAGCAGCATCTTCCACTTCCATGGGAGTTTGGTTCACATTATGGCCTAGCGATTCCTCGGTCTTCACGCCCTTTTCACAACACTGCCTCAAGGCTTGCCCACATAGACAAAGTTATGGTCAGCAGAGATTTCACCAAGAAATGAAGGAAAGGACAGATTTGTATAGATGAATAACAGAGGTCCAGGTTCCCAGCTCTCCCTCAGCCTCAGGCCCAGACCCTCAAAGTTGAATTCCTATCTTAATCTCTTTGTACTTCATCTGTCTGTACATTCATCTCTCGGTACCCTGCTTTCCTAGTGCTGCAGAGGATTCCTTCATTGGTTGTTCTGGGTGGTGAGACACCGGCCTGCAGTGGGGAATGGGGGCAGACAGCATCACTAGATAGATCACAAGAAGAAGTCTGGAAAGGAGGGGCAGACTGTACCCACCTCGCTATACAGAGCATGGCCAGGGACTAGGATTACCGATTGGGGTCTACCTAACTTGAGGAGGCAGCTGGCCAATTTCACAGGGAAATCATAGGTCTGGCCACCATATTCATGGACTGATCACAACAGGGGGCTCCACATGCCTCTGATTGGCCTAGGGCCCCTGGTGGCCCCATCCTTTGTCACTGATTGACTGCAAGGACTGTCCATTGTACAGCCCTGTGCCTCACCGCAGATTGGTTGGGAGGATTATCATAATGCAGCCCCACCTGTCTCCACTGATTGGTGGAGAGGGGTGGGGCCGCATGGCAGGCAACCCTCCCAGCTAATCAGTGGGAAGGGACATGGACAGCAGCCAACTTGGGCAGCTCTTCATGCAGGCAGCACCCCATCCCACCTTCCCCCCAGCAGGCTGCACAGCTAGGCCTCAGCACCATGAAGACTGCTGGCTCCCTCTGGGGAGCCGGAATTTTATTTTTAGTAAGTTTTCTTTCTTCTTTTTTTTTCAAGTTTCAGAGGCATTGCCTGCTTTTGCGGGCAATGCCAGATTTCATGATTTCTGCAAAATTGCAATTTCAGTAGGTCCCTAATTATTGATTCTTCCCACTTGCACCTACAGCAATTACCCTAGATTCACATCACAGCACGTGACAGTAGTGTCAGGCTCACAGAACTAAATAACACTTCATCTTTCCCCCATTTTGATCTCTGCTCAAGAGGCTACCCAGCCAGTCACTTGTGAAATACAGGAATCCTCCTAGTGGACCAAGACACCCAGGCAGAGTCATTTTGCAGTACTCACCTTGCAGAAATAAGAAGATTGCACCTCCCTGCAGCACAGCCTTCAGCCCAAACATTAGAGCAGTAATGCACCAAGCTGAGCGCTTAAGATGGGGGCCTGGGAATGAGAAAAGAAAGCACTGGGTCTCAGCAGACAAAAGCTGCTGCAGCTCAGCACTGCTCACTTACATGTCAGCAGCTGGGTAATTTAGGCAGGAGTGGAAGAGATGAGATGTGAAGGTGCTTGTGGTTCTCATGGGGTGCAGACGGAAGTGCAGCTCCCTGCTATAACTCATGGTGCTTCACAAGAAGTACCATGAATTACAGCAATCCCCCAGACCCAACAGATATTCACAACTGGGTCCAGGGAGGTTCAGGGATCAAGCTGCACTTTAGAGTGACTGCAAGTCGGCAGCAGATCTCCCGTAGCCCTGCCCCTCCCTCCTTCCAGCACTGGCATTGTCTTCAGAATGGGAGGGGGGAAAGGAGTAGAGAGAACTCAATTTGGAGGCTGGCCAGCCAGCACAGGAGGGTGGGGTGGGTGGATCAGAGTTCCCCCAAGGTGTGGGGGCTCCAATCCACCCTCCCTAGCCTTCAACACTGGCTGGGCAACCCCCAGAACAAGCTCCTTGTACTCTCTTCTCTTGCTCCCATTCTGAAAACAGAGCCAGGAGCAGGGCTGGGCTGCGTCATCCCAGCCCTGCTCCCAGCATGTTCTGACACAAGTTAATGAAGGCGCTCTACTTTGGAGCACCTCCATCTGAATTCTCATGTAATAAGGGCTCAGACTGTTGTGGGATCAGGCCCTTTTAAAGCATTCTGCAGCCATGCCATCTGTAAGGGCATGGCTGTAGAGCGCTTTCAGTGGTCAATCATGCAACAAAATGTCACTTGTGTCAACACCCCTGGTGGCTATGAGCCAAGTTGGGGAGTCGTTGTCTAGATCCCAATTGGATGCTCAAAACTGCCCTTCTTCAGAGAAGATGACAAGCTTCTTAAGCAAAGTAGATTGATTTAAATCAAGGCAATTTATATCAGTCACCGATTTAAATCAGCAAGCCAAAACCCAATTTAAATAATTAATTTTTATCAACATTCCCATTGTATATATTTTTTTAGTTTTTAAAGAAAGATATCTTTTCATTGGTTGACATAACAATTAAAATATTAATTTACAACTTAATACATCTTTTACAGTAGATTTGGTACATATGTTTCCAAGTTACACAAACTATTTATATATCTAGAGAGAGAGAGAGACAGAGACAGAGAAAGAGCTAAACATATTTGGATCATTAGAAATCCTACATTTTAATATAAAATAATGAAATATATTTCTAATTCACTAGATGATTAAGGGGAGCTGAGGGAATAGTTCTCCATCAGCAGGACAGGAAGATGAAGGCCTCAGTAGGAGGACTCAGGTGCCTATATACTAACGCTAGGAGCATGAGGAACAAGAGGAGGAGCTAGCGCGCATTATGATCTAGTAGGGATTACAGAGACCTGGTGGGACTCCTCACACAACTAGAGCATAGCTATAGAGGGCTACACCCTGCATAGAAGGGTCTGGGGGGGGGAAGAAAGGTGGTGGTATTGCTTTCTGTGTGAAAGAGCAGTACACCTCCTTGGGTACATTGGCTCCAAAAATGAACAGCTTGAAACCCCCTGGGTTAAATTGTGGGGGGGGCTCAGCGAGAGAGACCTAACTGTAAGTGTATACTACAGACCACCAAACCAGGGGGAGGAACTTGATCTGGAGTTCACCCTAAAATTGACTGAGGCCTCACCGGCACGTGACATGGTTGTCATGGGTGATTTTAATTATTCAGACATCTTCTGAGAGGAACACTCGGCCAAGTTGGATCGGTCGCGATCCTTCCTGACCTGTGTCGAGGAGCTCTTCCTGACTCAGCAGGTACACGGGCCAACCAGAGGTGACACTCTGCTAGACTTGGTCCTGGCCAAATGAAACGACCTGGTGACTGACTCAAATATAGAGGGAAGTCTATCTATGAATCTATGAACTTTTTGCTCATTTTTGTATCAAGCTACTTTAAGATGGCATCTTGAATTTAATTAAACACACAGAACCAACACTTCAAATTTACTGAACAAAACCTTGATGTTTAAACATAGATTTTTTTTTTAATCAAAACATGGTGCACATCAACAACTAACTAATTTATTAAACACTAGTATTAACTGTTATAGTATTAGAATTATGAACTGTGTTCAGTGAATTAAACGAATTATGTCAGGTCACCCTGAGGAAAATATTTTAAAATGCTTAAGTGAAAGTCATTTTATCTTAAGTTCCTACTTGCCTAATTCTCTTTAAAACAAGACAGTAATTTTTTTTACCTAGCCTGTTTTGAAAATTTTTACCCCCTTTCTTTCAAGTTTTTAGAACTCATAAATCTCATCCTCTGGCCCCTTTTTAATCATAGCCTGGAAAAGAAAAATAAGCTTTCCTGCTTTTTTAACTCCCAATCAATTTCTCAGTTTTGAAGTTGGTAAGTTATTGAGCAAATGGTTGTTTTTCCATGAGCTGTAGAATAAGCTTCCATTATGGGTGCAGAGCCATAAATACCCATAATTTGAGAACTGACCTAATCAGAGCTCAAGCAGAGAGAATAAAACAGGAGTTTGACACCATCCAGGTGGGCTCAGTGGATAAATCTTATCCAGGAGTACACATGATGGTGTCCGCTGGAGGCAGAGGTCTGGTTCTAACACCTGGGATGACTTGCTGATCCTTTGCATCCAGTAGTATAGACCCTGCATCCCTTGCAAGGTTGGGCCCCCAGTACATAAAATACTGCACCATATTTTTAAAGTTTGACTTCAAAAGTTAGATTTTTCCCTTCATTCTTATATAAAGGAATATCAGCCTTTAACTCTAGAGTTTTTAGTAGAGGTTCATTAACTCAGCATTTTATTTTATTTTATTTTAATTATTTTAATGGATTTTCCTAAATTTATATCTTAGCCTATGCTGTACTAAATTCAAATGTATTTTAAGCTGATTTATTTTTAAAAAGGAGAATTTAATTGTAATTTAAATTTAACAAATTAAAATCCAATTTAAATTTTTAAAAGCTAATTTCTTTTATTTTTCTTTTAATCACAGATTTTTATCCACCCTGTTCTTATGTGACAGTGCCTTGTAAGCTGTGAGTTGGTATACCATCTTTAAGAGAAATGGTGCATCGGATTCCCTTCAACCCATTTTCCACGAGCAGCCAAGTCTGGCATTGCAACTCACCACTACAAAGTACGTTTTACTTCTGGAGGGCCACCCTTTTTTGCTCATACCATCATCGGGCTGGACGGGACCCCCACAGAGAGGCTATGTTAGAAGACTTGTTCCTTTCTTAGCCATGACACATCATGGTTTTGTTAATATTTCTGGGTTAATTTTGTTCGTACTATAATAAAGTTGCATGCCTTAGTTTCCCATCTCTGATAGCAGTTCAAGGCTGAATAACACTTTGAAGGGGAAAAAAAAAGAAAGGGCGATGTAGCATGAAACATCAGAATGGACTTTGGGAGATGTAGGTTATGGTCCTGTTCTGCGATAGCCTTCCTGTGTGACTAAATCAACTAACATTGTCTTTCTCCACAGGACAGGATCCTCATGCTAGATCTACAGCTAGCATTAAGTTGGGAGAACACCAGTAAAGTTGGGGAAGCCATAATGAACATAGGAGCATAAGCAATGCCACGTGGGGTCAAAGCACATTTCCATATAGCTCGGTGTCCTCTCTTACGAAAGGACATGCAATGGATGCTGAGGGAAAGAGCATTCATGCTGGGGCTATCCTGACTAATCAGTTCCCTGTCCCTTTCCCTATATCACTTCCAGCATTCAGAGGTAGCTCCAGCAACTGATTTACAGCATCTGGGAGCTTCTCTCTCATTAAGCCTGTGCCTTTTCTTTCAGAATCCTTCAGATCCAGGGTACAGAAGCAAACCACTGCTCCTAAGTGAAATTTTGCAGTTTGAAGCTGGACATATGCCCCAAAACCTGTTTAGAAGACAATGGAGTGATTTCCACTAACATTCAGTTTGTTTCTGTATTTCTGTGCTTCTTTCCTGTGTTTATATTTTCCGTTATCAGTTTAAGATGTGAGACCTGAAGAAAGGTCCTTTGTGCCTGAAGCGTTGCCAAACATCTCTCCCAACTATACAATAAAAGAGAGCACAAAAAATCCCTTGCCTCCTCCCCTCTCTCTCTCTTCATTCTCAATAGGGTATCTATATGACAGCAGTAACACTACTCCCAATTCATGCTAGCAAGTCAGATCAGGCTCAGACTGCAGAGTGCCCTGCCCTGCCTCTGGCTCCCAAACAACCTACACATTTGTGAAATGGAGCCACATTCTGCCCTGGCACACAACCTCCCTGGAGTGGAAAATCTGATTCTGCTTCTTGCTCAAAAGAGGCATGAAGGAGGCAAGAGCCAGCACAGAAAGCAAAATCCAGACCTGAATTCTCTTTCATGCTCATGGCCATACATGTCAGTCCTACCTGTATGCGAGCTTCCTCTCCTCCCTTTGAATCTTGGGTTGGTGTAACCACAGCCAACCTTGGTCTCCATCTCCGTGCCTCTGAGCGAGATTTGAAGCCACACTGTGCAGACAGCAAACACACATGCAAAGTTACTGGGGCAGGTCTACTGAGCACTCCTGGAGGAAACAGATTGGCTCTGTTCATTATCTTGTGACTGTGCCCTGGAGTGATTGGTCCCTCCTGCCAGATATGTGGGCTGTGCCTTTGCTGGTAATCATGTAGGGTGCTCTGCCAACCCCCAGTAGAGCCACCTATATGCTTAAAAGTGTAATATGTGGCTGAGGGCTTTGCTGAAGTGAGATATGATCACTTATCTGTTGAATGTGAGGTTAGTGCCAGAGTTTCCTGAGTTGGGGGTCAAAACAAATATGTCACAATGGGCCAGAACCTGTGAGACTATATCTGAAATGATCTATTTGGTTCCCTTGTGCGTGTCACTGACCCTTCCGGAGAGTCAGAACAGGATGTGATTTGCCTTGAAAAGCACACACAAACCCTGCATGAAAATAAAGCCGTGTTAAAATGACTAGTGAGTTCACTTATATAAGCCCAAACTTTTTACAACATTTGAATGACTGTTACTTCTTCACCTTAAGCCAAGGGGAAGATTTGCAAATATGAAGCTGGTTGGATCCTTGGGGGGAAGTGGCAGTGACATGATAAAACTCACATTCCTTAGGAATGGCAGGCAGAGGAGAGTCAAATGAGGCTGCTGGACTTCAACAAGGCAGATTTGAACTGACTCAAAGGAATAGCTGGTAAAGGAATAGCTGGTAAAGTCCAATGGACAGACAAATGGACAGACAAAGGGATGTCTGTCATGATTAAGGGGAGCTGAGGGAATAGTTCTCCTTCAGCAGGCCAGGACAGGACAGGCAAAGGGATAGAAAAAGGAAGAACAGAAGGGCTGGATGTTCCTAAAGGACATACTGGAAGCTAAGCAGCAAGGCACGACTATGCAGGGTAAGGATTAGGAAAACCACAAGGACCCAGCAGGTCAGAGAAATTCTGGTCAACTGTACTGAATTCAGGGGACCAAGGCCTGACAAAGTTCAGCCCAGGGTACAGGAGGAACTAACTGTTGCTTTCTGCTCTGGTTCTTGCCTTCTGGAGTTTGGGAGAGTTCACATGTAAGCTGGGAGTTCATTGCCCTTGCTGTGAGCAGCACCAAACACTGTGTGTGACTGGCTCACTACAGTTGGCTGCTATACAGACAACTGCCAATGTAAGAAATCTGCACTACAGCTGGTATAATGAATCTGCACCTAGGCTTGTGTGTGGGATGGATACCTGGTCCATATTATTACAAGCACACGCTGGAGTTCAGCAGAAGGGGGCTGCAAGAATCCACCCAAACATAGACTCACCCTGGAAGTGTCACCTGGGGTCCCTCCATATGGTCATGATGTTTGGCTAATGCAGTGGACTTCCCCCTCAGTCACACTTTCTCTGGAGAAGGCACAAGTGGCACTTTCCCCTTTTGCTTGCTTCGTTGGGCACAAAGCCCTAAACTAGAGGCACGGCAACTTGGAAAACATAACTCTGAATCCATCAAGCTCATGAGACAGCCTCCTTCCCAGGACACTCATCTGAAGAGCATACAGACCACGCTCACTAGAGACCAGGGGCCTCAGATTTATATGAACACATGGGACCTTCCTTGCCTCTGCCCTTGCTCTGGGCAGAAACTTAACCAGAACCTGACAACAGCAGATGATTTAATTTGGTGTGGATACCTCAGCCATGGGAGAAATATTAGGCTAGAAATCACAGCTACCAGGACTCTGGGAGAAATTAAATCAAAGTATTTGCCACATTTCAAACATTTTAGAAGGAAAATAAAATATTTTGCTTCAAAAAAATCCCAATGGAATCTATTCTTTGCACAAATAAATAGATTTTTCTGGCAGTTTTGGTTGACATGAATGTGCTAGCTATTGAATCCCATTCTTTTAGCTTTCCTGCTCAATACCAGGCTCAAGGATTCATTTCAAGCTGCAGCTAAGCAAGACCAATCTCCTGAACGTTGTTCCTGGTTTAATCACTACCCAATACCATCTGAAAAGTTAAAATCCTATGTCAGACCATGACACCAGGGAGCAAGGAATCCAGTCCCTCAGCAAAGCATTGACTATACTGGGAATAGGAGAAGGGAATACCAGGAAGCACTAACTTCAGGACATGGGAACAAACACAGGCAGGCAGGTAGAAGGGGCAGGCAGACAGCTGTATCAGGTCCCTGTCCCCAAAGATGGGAGAGGGAGATTGTGGCTGCAGTGAGAACAGACCTCAAAAGAGCAACCAAGACTGGGACCAGTTACCACACAACAGAGCTATTTAATAGATCAAAGCCAGGTCTGGCAAGAGCCTTCCTTTACACTAGAGCAGTAGCTGCCACAGTCACCGGCCTCTCTGGAAGGCTGTTGTTGCAGTCTGTTGCACTCTCTAATAAGGAGCCCAGCAGCAGAGCCTCCAAACCCAGAGGTGGGAAGTGCCTCAGTACCAATCATCTCCTGGGTCTCCCCTCAAAACCCCAGTCTTGCTTTGGAGCAGGGGGGAACACCTGTGCAGAACACCTTGTTCTTCACTGTGAGACAGGCAGGCCAGTGATACTGCCCCGTCTGGGCACTCAGCCAGGCTTCCAGGCATGGAGGAGCAGTAACAGAGATGCAGACCATTCGGCATCCCTTTTGGCAAGTGACAGGCTGGGCTAGTGACAGTGACAGGCTGGGCTAGGGGTGGAGACAGAGATGGTTAATACCTCCTTCTCCAGGATTTCCCCAATTCTTGCCCCAGCCTGGGACAGCACCAGGAAGCCATGCCCCAGTGCCCATTACAGTTCTCACCTTTACAGGCAGACTGCTCTCCAGCTCTTGATCTCAGTCCACCCCATTTGAACCCTGTTGGAGCCCACAGGTGGGTGGGCTGTCATGTTGCCTCCATGGCAAGTGTAGGCATGCATGGGTTCCCAGACCTCCTGACTTCCCCAGATGGCAATATGTGTCCCCCTGCCATGCCAAGATGTTCTCCCCAGTGTGTCCACGAAGGTGGCAGAAGCAGTGACCTTGCAGTTGGGCAGGAGCCAGGAGTTGATCTGTGATCAACCCCACCTCCTGCTGTGAGCAGCCTGTCCCCTGCCCCTCCACCCTCCACCCTTCTGCTCTCCCCATCTCCTCCCATGCTCCAAGATTGCAGGGCTTCCCACCCTATTCTCTGCTTGCCAGTAAGTTTTGGGCTTTTTTGCAGCAAGCCCACCAAAAGCCAACCAACCAGAAGCCAACAGCAGTGGCAGCAGTTCCCAGAGAAACAACTACACCAAATGCCCCTGAAGTAGCTGGGCAGGTGCAGGGTGCCAGACGGGGGAGGAGAGCATTTACCTCTTCACATAGGGGGATCTCGTGGCACACTTCCATCACACTCATGGCACACCAGTATGCCAGGGCAAACCCAGTGGGAATCACTGACCTAGGCTCTGGTATGGAACAGAAACACCCAGGTACAAACATAACCACATGTTAAGACCCCAGAAGCAGTCAAAGAAAAGCCATGACTACCTAGCATTTGATGTTGCACCACGTAGCTCAAGAGCCTAGTGTTTAGGTTGCTTGCCCAGGGAGTGGGAGACCCAGGTTTTACACACTCCCTACACCCAAAGGGAGCAAGAAACTGCATTTCCCACTTCCCAGCAAAGGGCTTGACTCACCAGGCCATTTATGTCCTAAGGAGCTTATAACCTCATAGGAGAGGAACATCCAGGTTTCCAGTCTCTACTGCCAGGCTTATTTCTGTTTTTCAGTCAATGGCTGCCTAAAGTGAAATATAGACAGAGCAGAACCCAGGGCTCTCATGCCTATAGTGCAGTGCTGCCGCCACCAGGCCAAAACACAGGCTCCTGTTTCTTTCTTCTTGCAGCTCCATGACACTCACGTCACAGCCTTGTGATCCTGTTTCACCACAGGGAATGGAGCCTATGCTCTCCCAGACTAGTTTATATCCCAGTGGTGAGGGCATGTCCCTGGAAAGCATTTCTGGGGCAAGTACTCTACCCACTAGGTGAAGAAGAAGGTGGACACCCACACTGCTAGCTGTGCACTGGGCTCAGCACTGTGAATGAGAATTAGATGTAGGTTTTATCAACTGCCTTGTCAAGGTCAAAGGTAGCATTTTGGTGCCTCCCAGCAATGCTCTGAATCCCAACAGATCATAGGCAAGAATGCGGCGCTGCATTGCTTCTCTTTTCTCCACAGGAATCACTTCAGAAGAGCGCATGGTGCCTTAATGTAGGCACCTAAGGAGCTTTGCTCCTAGTGGAGGCACTCAAAGAGTCCTGCACTTGTTGGGGTATGGCCATTAGAAAATGCTAGCTCCTGAGAACTGCTCTAATTAAAACAACCCCCTCATCCCCCAACCCAGAGCTCATATTTAGGCATCCACAGTGTGCAAGTAGGACTTAGAAAACAAGCTAAATGTATCCCATAGCACTTAAACACTGAGTCACAGAATGCCCAGATGTCTTAAGCTTTTTTATTTACATGTGCCCATATGTGTGCTTACTTTATGTGTGCCCTAACCATTGATCCTCTTCTAGATCATGGTATACACATAAGAGGTCTAGTCAGATGCCTGATGAATCTGTCTTGGCTGATAAACCCAATCTGAGAGTGACAAAGCTTGTTACAAGTTGCACAGATCCATATGTTGTCTGAGTTGAAGTCCAAATTTATAACATGCTTTCCTCTTTCTCACATTGCTTCCATCAGGATCAAAGCCAATTCATGTTGAGCTGCGCCCAGTGCCAGTTGTTCCCTCCAAATCGCATAGAATTTTGCGTGCTTCTCCCAGCTTTTTAGGTTGTTGTTGAACTTCATATCATTTTTGCACACACATGGTGGTACCACCATAGAGGGCAACCCCACTTTCTAGAGCCATTTTGAATTTCACTGTACAAAATATTCTTGGGGATATGGTCTTCTCCTCTTTTCCTGATATGCCCAATCCATTGCAACCTCCTCCTATTGCTAATGGTTTCTAAGTGTGTCAGTCCTACACATTCTGGTACCTCTGTGTTTGGTATTCTGTCTTCCTACTTTATTTTCAGGATCTTACATAGATATCTGTGTGGAAGTTCTTCAGTCTCTTAGCATATGTACTCCGTGTTTCTGAACCATAAAGCAGGGATGACAGCATATAAAACTCATAGATTTGTATCTTCACAGTAGCTGATAATTTGCTGTCATGCCATGAATGTTTCTGTAATAGCCCAAAATTCTTAGCTGCTTTTCTGATTTTGTTAGTCAGTTCAGTCTCAAGATTCCTGTTGATCATAGAATGCAAGTAGCAAAAACTGTCAATGACACCAAGAGATTTATCTTCCAGAGTGATGCCAGGTATTGGGTCTTTCCCTCCTTGGTACATGATCACAGTCTTCTTGGGCATTTATACATGTGCTCCAGGAGTGGGGAGGGCGCTTTAATTAGAGCGCTTGGGGCGAGCTCCGGGGGCTAATTAGAGTTGGCGGGGGGCGCTTCTAATTAAAGCACTTGGACCATCACGTGTATCAGCATCCCCACGCTGAAAAATGGCGGCAAGGCACTTTAACTAAAGTTTGTCAAACAAGTTTTAAAGCACCCCCACCAGTATTTTTCAGCATGGGAACACTGATACGTGATGCTGGAGTCTGCTAGAGCACAGTAATTACCATGCTCCAACAGACTCAGTTAATCAAGTCTGCTCTGCGTTGGAGCAGCCTTGCTGCATGTGTGTAGGTCCCCTTGAAACTAACTGCCACCCCGAAGCTCTTGCATGATTCAAAAAATCTGTCTAAGACCTTTTGCAGGAAAGATTCATTGTGGGCAACCAAGACTATATCACGTGCAAACAGGAAATCTCTCAGAACCAGTTCTTTCACCTCGGCTTTCGCTCTAACCGCATGCCAAAAAATTGTGGTTGTTATTGGCATGTGGAATAGCTAAGTGAGTTGTTCCTGGATATATTCTGGCCTAGTCTCTCAAAAGCACTACTCAACACAAAAACATCTAGGACTTCACAAGCATCCCATCATGTATTTGGACTATGGCTGAAGTGCATATTATATAAACGAGTAAAACAGAGGATTTTAATGTTGATTTAGAACAGGGGTGGGCAAAATACAGCCCCCGGGCCAGATCCAACTTGGGGCAGGTCTTTGTCCAGCCAGCGGTGGGTCCCTCAGTCCTGCTTGGCCCAGGCACAGTCCAGCCATGGAGCGTCCTGCTGCCTCCTGGACATGCAGTGGGGCTGAGGCAGCTCCACAGCAGGACTCCCTATCTAAGCAGCCCAGGTGGCAGCAGCTCCTTCTGGCTGCTGCTGCCACTGGCCCCAGCCCTGCAGTACCAGCAGGGACCCATGCACACACCCCCAACCCCACATCCCCCACGTCTGCTCTGGGCTTGCCCGCCCAGGCTCAGCAGCAGCGGTGGGAGACAAAAGCTGTTGCTCAGCACAGGGGGAAAGCAGCCCCTCCCCAACACCACCGTTGGGCAGTTCTCACTGCAAGCACCCGGAGCCCCCACCGGGCTGCCCTGCAGTTACTCTGCACTGCCACCACTGCCCCGCAGGGCAGCCTGGAGATGGCGGTGACGGCAGTGGAGACACAGGGCAGTCCATGGGGGGCTCTCGGTGGCTGCAGCAGGGAACTGCTGGCAGTGGGAAGGGGAGGGACTGCTTTCTACCTTCCCTGAGCAACAGCTCCTGTCCCACGCCGCAGCTACTGAGCTTGGGTGGGCAAGCCTAGCAGGGGTGCATAGGTCCCTGCCGGTACCATGGGGCTGTGGCCAGAGGCTCCTGGAAGGAGCTGCTGCCACCAGGGCTGCCTAGAAAGGCAGGCTCACTGTGGAGCCACCCCAGCCCCTGGCGGGATGCGCCACAGATGGGCTGTGGTCGAGGTTGTGCCCGCGTTCCAGCTGATCTGCTCCTGCGGGGACAAGTCCTGAGCCGGCGTGGAGCAGGGCTGTGCACTACTGATGGTGACGGGGAGACACCACGGGAAGCGTCATACCCCCCCTCCCTCCAATATCCATCCACACCACCTCACAAACCCCACACTCCCACACACTCCCCGACATGCCCTCCCCCTCTACATACACACACTTGTGCACCTCTGGGGTGAGCCCAGCTCACTATATGCACACCCCACCACACACACACCCCCTAGCACATCCCACACCCATACCCCCCACACACACCCCCAGCCACCCTCCTCCTCCACACACCCACAAACCCCATACCCACACACACACCCACACATCCCCACAAACACTCCCCCTCATAAACCCCCCATAGCCACCCACCCATGTCCACACACACCCCCACACCCGTTCTCTCACACACACACACACACACACACACACACACACAGCTCCCCCACAAACTCCATACCCACCCCTCCAAGGGGAGGGACCTCCAATAGCAAAGGTTGGGGTTAGGAGGCAGGACTCCCAGTCCCAAGATGGTGACCAGGGCTGGGGCATCTGTCAAAGAGCAGGGATACTCTCGCAGCTCTCAACAGCTCACCAAAACTCATTAAGCGGCCCCTCTAGCCAAAATAATTGCGCACCCCTGATTTGGAAGATAAGGGGGAGGAGGTAGAAATCTTTCCTCTTTTGGTAACTGGTTTGTCATAAAGTTCGCACAGACAGTTTGTGGTCATTTTACATATTCCAAGAAAACCTTCTATAAAAAGTCATTTATTTTGCACCTCTATGTCATAGTTCTCAAGGAGGATTTCCATGTCTTCTATGGCTGAATTTGTGCTCCAATAAATTTGATTCTTCTTTGTGAATGAACAGCTAGCATGCTGTGTCTAGAAATGTGTTTTTAGAGCTGGCTCAGATAAGTGATTGTTTTTCCTGGATTTTTTCATCTATTTCACCATATATGTAGTTAGGCTATGGTTTAGACCAGCAAATATTTATAGGGCGACAATATCTAAGGTCTGTTATGTTGAGTGTTTTATCCCACTCACTATAATCACTGCTGTAATTAATCTCATTACAACACAACTACCCTCTGATACTATCTGCTCAGTAGTAGCTATAGCCTCATCATTATAGTAGGAAAAGTTGTTCTTGGGATTATCCAACTGATATGGAAGAGTGTTCATCCAGGAGCCCCCACCCCTCTGTTGGCTTTGTTTTCTCTGTTGACACCATGATCCAGAATTTTAATTTGTGTACATATTGTGAACTCTAACCCACAGATCCATGTGTGAAGACAGTAAACAGATTTACATATCCAGCTGTGTCCTAAAGGGAAAGTGTGCTGGACTGAAGCTGAGGCATACTGCAGAGCCATTTCTTTTTTAACCGGCACTTTGATGCGGAGATGGAGGCAGAAGCTGTATGGCCACAGTTTTCATAACGTGATATGTTTATATAAAATCTGGAAAAAAAGGCAGTAATTAGAATAGAACATCCAAGGCAAAAATTAGTAAATGTCAGAAGCTCCATGGTTGACATTGCTTACCGCTTGGCCTGAAAAGGCTAGGGAGAAAGCTGTACAGAATAATTTTATTTAGTTTAATTTAGAATTGAGGACGACTGAATGTGAGGTTTTTGCCACCTCTCTCAAATACGAAAACTACTGAGCTGTCCTAAAACAGCTTGGAGCACAACAGAGTGGGTTGCTAGGTTACTGGAGTTACTGGTGTGTCTGGAATGACAGTTCACAATCAAAAAACAGAGCTAAACCTGAAAGAATGAGCCAAAATCTCTGCTCAATTGGGTAGAAGGGTTAAATCCCACCGAAAAGCTGCCAGGAAACCATAAAAATATGAAGTGTCATCAGTGTAGCACTGTCCTCTTCTCTTTGAGACTGTAGAGAAGCTTTTCTGCTGGGTCTGTTCGGGTGAATAGAGGAAGGCATAGCTGTAGGCAGCAGCAGATCACCAATTTGGCAGAAAAAAATCACCTGAACTAATGCTTGAGGAAGCTCCACAATTTGCACTGGGGCTTCTGGGACCTTGACAAGTGTTGGGAGCCCTTGTTTGTGTGGTTCGGTGAGTGCTTATCTCACAAGACTCATATGGTAGGTAAATTCAAGGTATTTCTAATATTACATATAGATAACCCCTGCTAAAGGGACAGCTTTGCCCCCCCTGCTAGGCTCAATTTCCTCTATCATCTAGTAGGATTGTGTAGGAACTACTTAATGCTATCATGACCACAAGACCCCAATATGTGTACAGACAAATAAAAGGCAGGTGACAAAATTCAACCAAATAGATGGCTACACATCTGATCTCATGAATCCAGGAAGAAATATGAAGTAACTCAACTGCAATAATGAATTTTTTTCCTTTGCTCTTCCCACACACACAAATATGGAAACTATTTCAAGATCTAACTTTTCTCCCTCTCTAAATAACTAAAAAGAAGCACTGCTCCTTGCTAATGGATAAAGAAAAACCTATTTCAATATGTAACTTTTCTCCTTCTCTGAAGAACTAAAAAGATGTGCTGCTCCTTGCTAATGGATAAAAACAGTTCAGTGGTCAACAGCCTGGGTTTCTGAGGGGAACAACAGCATCAGTCCTCACTACAGCCAGGTTTTGTAGTGACATGGTTATTTTAGTTAGTGGTGTGCTTTTTACTAAAAGAGAAATACTAATACATCTACCCTAGAGTGGAAGTACTGACACCAGTATAAAGGGACCTTATACAGCCATAGAGTATTCCCCTTCCCCCAAGAGGATAGGAAGTCCAGCATAAATACTTTTATAACAGTGTAACTGTGTGCACATTGGTTGAATATTGCTGCATTATTTCTACCAGTGCAATTAAAGTAGGACATGCTTGCATTTAGATAAACCTTATGTCCTGAATTTCCCCTTGCAGGGTGGGTCCAAAAGAGAACTCACAGGTTCGTGTCAAGCACCTCTCCGCTTAGCCAGTGGTACTCATCATCTTGCTTGTACAGCCCAATCCAGAAGTCTCTTGTGCGCATCCGATTCATTATGAAATGCTAAACAAAGAAGATGTGGAAAATAATGTTTCCTCTGTGAAATTAACCTTCCTAGGGTTACTCCACAAAGAAGATCTAAAAAGGACTCCCAGGCAAATTTTATCACCAAATGTTCTAGGTCTGAATCTTCCTGCCCTCTACCTCATATTGTCTATCTCTCATAGATACACAGCTCTGTCACACAGTAAACTGGATTTCAGTTTGCTCAGGGAATAAGTGATGACATTACAGGAATGGTTAGCGATAAAGGGGGTATTGGAAAACTTACCATTTCTTGTTTGCTGTCAATCACCGCAAGGGAAGCTCCATGTGCAAGGCAGAAGTTCTGACTAAAAGTCCAGTCTGCTTGATCTTCTGAGAGATAATAGCATTTCTTCCGATAATACAGCCAGTCGTCAGGACACGGCTCGATGTGAGGCAATCTGGGAGGCGCTTTATGTGGAATGAAGCAAACATTATTATATTAGCATAAAGTGTTGACATTTATCCATTTACTCCAAGCTAACCCTGAGGACTGTAGCCAAGTGCTTCAGTTCTGCAACAGTGCAGTAAACAGGAAATTTTGCTGGAGCTTCCGGTATATAAAAAAAATTAGGCTTGTATTGAATTACATATGAAATGGAATAAAGCCATGCAATCAAAATAGTAGGATCTAAGTCAGGGGTGTCAAACTTTTTGGGCCCTGCAGGCTGGTTCTGGACCACAGAACTGGACAACCCACAAGCGGCAGCAACGGCATTAATCCTCACAGCTGCTAGAGCCATTGTTTCAGTGCAGCTCCAAAACCCAGAGACTTAGCACTGATGCTGCTTGCCCCCTTTTTCCTCTGCTGCCAATCTCAGACACCAGCGGTTCCAGAGATGCGCAAGGATTAATGCCACTGCTGAAAGGGCTCTGGCAGTCACAGCTACGAGCCCCACCAAGCAAGTCCAGCCCACAGGGATGGGGTGGGTGGTCTAGCCTGCAAGAAGCTCCATGGCCTGGATGACCCACCTCCTTGAGCTGTACGCAGCCTGCAGAGCATCTATTTTGAGACCCCGGCCCTAGGTTATGTTAACAATATATTTATTTTATGCTGCTCTCTCCTCAAATTATTAATTGGCAAAGGGCTGCTGACTTCTATATTGAAATTTCACAACAAATAGTTGGTCAGGCACCGGGAGGCAGAAAACTGGATATTTTGGCAAACATGTGGGGTCTGTTTGAGGCTTCCAGGATATTGGAGATTTGAGACTGGGACGATGGTGGGACCTGGCAAGGTGGCAGCTGTGGGACTGAGGGTATGGTCACCTAGCAATCCCATCTGTGGATTCAGAATCAAAATACCTGCCAACAATCAGGAACAGTTAAACCCTTTGAACATGAAATGCTCTGAGTGCTACACACAAAAAGGACTCAAAAGGTCCACTTGCCCACTCACTCTGAATGAATGGAAAGCTCTTCCTAGCAAATCCCATCAGCACCTACAGAATTCAAGGTTATGTTAAAAACAGGAAAAGGTTCATTCACTGGCAACTTTTGGTGCTTTGTTGTGCCAGCTGGACACAAAATAGAAGATAAAGTAGGCAAGGGAGATGATCTTACAGCAGGATCAGAACAACAGGAACTTGTGGGAGAGGCTAGTGGCTCTATAACTAGCAGCCTTCTCCTGTCCTACCAGGACCCAGAAGACTCTAGGCTAGGAGATAAGTATGAGAGACAGAGACAGAGAAGTCCCTCCCTTCCAACAGCCTCCTTATCTTCAAAAGTTTACTTACACAAGCTATACCACAGCAAGAGGAGAATCACAGCCACAGCAATGATTATTCCAGCAATCCGCCTCCAAAACCAAAGGTAAGCACAGTGGTCTGAAAAGGAAAAGAGCAGAGAAGTTTCAATGAATGAAACACAGAAAGAACAGAAGGGATCATGAAGTCAGATTTTAAAAACTTCAAACCAGGACACCTGAAGCTGAGTAGCTAATTGACCCAGTGCTCAAAGGGGGTGATACCCGCAACTCTCTTGAAGTCAATGGGAGCTAAAAGTACTTGACATCTTTTGATAGAGCTGCAGGGACCAGATCTTCAAAGATGCCTGAGCCCTCAAATTAGGAATTGTTGCCTGGGTGGGATGTCCAGTTTCCTTCCAAGTTGTTAGCTAGAGGTGCCCTTCTCCTGGAACAATGGGCAAGTGAAATGCTAACGTCAGGGGGACAGAGAGACAATCTCCCCTAGAGACACCCGACATCTCTCCTCCCAGACACCTGACAACATCCTCAGCACACACCTGTCACCCACACTCACCCACCAAGCTGGACATAAGGAAGAACTTCTTCACTGTCCAAGCCCCCAAGGTTTGGAATAGGCTGCCACTGGAGGCGGGGTAAGCCACCCCTTTTTACGCCTTTAATCCTAGGATCCCTGCTGACTTCCTGCCCCTGGGGCAGGGGGCTGGACTCGATGATCCTCGGGGGTCCCTTCCAGTCCGAATGTCTATGAAATCTAAGCAGCTGTGATGCCTGGCGTGCGTGTTGCAGGCAAGCGTAAGAAGAGGGGCCTTGCAGGAGCTGGAGGGGAAGGTGGAGAGGACACAGGGTGGGGAGGGAAGAGTTGGGAGCGAGAGAGACCAGGGCAGGAACCAGAGCACAGGTGGGACACAGAAGGGAAGCCTCTGGGGCAGGTGTGTCAGATGCGGAGCGCTGTGAGGCTGGTCCAGGAGCCGGATCAGGCCCACCGCCCAGCTCCTGCGTGCCCAAACCAGATCCAGCGCCTGGTCAACGGGGTGGCGCCGTATGTTTCACACCCCTGCTCGGGGGAGGGGGGGGCAACCCCTTGCCCAAGGTTTAGCTGCCCCTCATGCTGGGCCTGGCCTCCTAGCAGCAGCAGAGGTGCTGTGGGCTCTGGGCAAGGCTGGGCACCACCTCAGCCCCTCCGGCCAGTGCCCCCGTGCCGCCCGAGCAGCGCT